GAAAACAGAACCCTGCTCTGCCCGGGAGGGTGACATCAGCATTTAGTGCCTCGGGGGACAGGAGGCAAATGAGGTTAAGACTCCATCCAAAGGGAAACGCAATTATCTGTTAGTTTCCCTGGGGCTTCTAATCCCTGGCTTCCTTCCCAGGGCTGTGAGAACTGCCCGCAGTGTCCTCTCCCCAGGTTTCTGTTTCCCCTAAATGCCCCATCTAGTCATAAACGCCCCTTCGGTCGTAAACGTGTTTTCTCTCAGCCTTGTCTGGACAATTTCCAATAGGAGGCCTGGGAAACAAGCGAGCAACGCGCCTCACCTGAGGGCGTCGGCCCCAGCATTCAGGCCCAAGGGCCAAACCTGCTCCGCGCCCCGCATGAGGCGCAGCCCGACCACTCGGCCGGCCTCTGTCCTGCCGGCAACCGGAGGAAGTTCGCCACCTCCGGATAAAAAAAATAAGACTGGACCTCGAGTGACTCCTAAATGACCCCAGCACCTCCTCCTCTCGTTCGGTAGACTTCCGTCCCAGTCACGGCGACCCAAGGCCGAACGACCCTCCTAGACCTGGCCCGGCCCCTCCGAGGCCAACAGTCCCGCCGGCCTCAGCCCAAGCCTCGCGTGGAAGCTGCAAAGCAGACCCCGCTCCCGGCGTCCTTCGGGGAAGCGCCACCCCCTCGGGTTGGGAGGTGAGGGTCGAGGGGACACGCAGGGGGCAGAGGGGAGAGATCCCGAGGCGCACAGCCACTACCTTTCTTCTCGACGTGCTTCACGGTGGGAGCGGCGCAGGTAGCGGAAACACCAGCAGGGCCACCAGCAGAGCAAGATGCTCCGGCTGCGACGGCAGGTTCCCCACCGAAGGTTCTGTAAACTGACTGGCTGGGCATGCGCCGTGTGCTTACACCTGATGAGCCCAGAAGCGCGCAGGGCGGAGCCAGGCCGGGGGCCTCGGTTCCCTCACTGGTTCCCTGCGCACGTGTTAACTGTAGGCCTACTGATGCACACGTGTTAACTGTGCGCCTACTGAGTGCCAGGCACTGCGCTCGGCACTGCGCGCCGGCATGGACCCTCACAAGCCTTCCCTGTTCTAGTGGTGGAAGGCGATGTTCACCGTAAGATAGCAGATAACGTAACATTGCCTTGCATGTCCTTTGAATGAGGAGAGGCGCATAGTGCCATGAAATCACATGGTGGGGGACCTGACCAAGTCTGGGGATCAGGGAAGTCTCCCCAGGGGACATGCTAACCTGGAAATCTAAGGTGGGTAAATTACTAAGCAGTAGGATAGGGAGGCAGATTAGGCACAGCATTCCAGGCAGGGAATAGCACGAGCAAAAGGAGTGTGATGGGAAGAAGCATTGCCCCTCTGAGGAACTGAAGGAGGAAAAGCAGAGTTCGTGGAGCAGAGAGTTATGCAAGAAGAGACTTGAAAGGTGGGCAAGGGCAGACCATTCTAGGCCTTGTTCTTTTTATTTATTTTTTTCTTTTTGCGGTACGCGGGCCTCTCACTGTTGTGGCCTCTGCCATTGCGGAGCACAGGCTCCTGACGCGCAGGCTCAGCGGCCATGGCTCACGGGCCTGGCCGCTACCGCGGCATGTAGGGATCTTCCCGGACCGGGGCACGAACCCGTGTCCCCTACATCGGCAGGCGGACTCTCAACCACTGCACCACCAGGGAAGCCCTAGGCCTTGTTCTTGATCCTAAGAAGGTTCCATCTAACTCTCTTTGCTAGAAAAAATGGTCACTAGCTCTATGGTGTTTTGCAGTTGAAATTCCTTGTTGCCATTAATTTCACCAACCTGTGAGGTTAGTAATAGTTTTCTCAGCTGAGGGAACTGAGGCTCATAGAAGTTAAGTATTTGGCACACAGATGTTAAGTAGTAAGGCTGGGACCTGAACCCAGCTCCACCCTACCCGTGGTCACAGTCATTACCAAAAATTAAACATAAACAAATGAATAAGCTGTGTCAAAGATCACCACAAGTTTTCTTCAAAAATAATTCTTAATATTGTATTTAAGCATAATAATCCATCTAGAAACCAGTCCAAAAATGTGCATTGTGTAACAGAAAATGCTAGTATCTGTTCCCCTCCTACTCTACAGCGTGCATTCTCAATGCGGGGGAGGAAGGATTGCCCTCAAGGGGACAGAAAATTGGTTCCTTCGGGGGCTAAAAAATCTTAGATATTACAATGACTTATGGTCCACCAAAGTTCAACCCTACCCAACAAAATTTTATTTCTTAATTAATTTTTCTCTTTAAGAAGAAAGTAAATTAAATTTAGATTTATGTTAATTTAAATTTGATCTAATTTATCTCAGGAGAAGCAATTATGAAAAAAAAGTTTGAGAAACACTGTTCTACAGTATTGGAACCCTCAAATTTTAGTGGATCAACCAGAATAAAGATCACATTTCTTAACTTTCCCTGCAGCTAGCTGTGGCCATGTGAATAAATTCTTGTCCAGGGTATGGACAAGTGATAAGTGAAGAAATGAGAGGCATGCCCTTTTTCTGCCTTCCCAACAAGCTGTACTTTGAAAGTGGACATGGTGGCAAGCCCCCGTTGGCCACATGCATGAGGGCAGCAATGTAGAGATGGTGATAAAGCAACAAGATAGAAGGAGCCTGGGAGACCTCATGGAGCTCTCAGAACCACCGTATAAGCCCTAGTCACCTGCCTCTGTTTGGGGAAACACACTTTTATCTAGTTAGCCACTATTAATTTGGATTTTCATTACGTGCAACTGATCCCTTACTCATTATATTTTATTGTGGTAAAAAACATGTAGCATCAAATTTACCCTCTGAACCATTTCTAAATATGCAGTTCAGTAGTGTTAAGTATATTCACATTATTGTATAACACATCTCTAGAACTTTTTCATCTTGCAACACTGAAACCCTAAACCCACTAAGGATTAATTTCATCTCACCCTTTCCCCCAGCCCTTGACACCCACCTTTCTACTTTCTGTTTCTAAGATTTGACTTTAGATACTTCCTGTGACTATTTGTTCTTTTGTGACTGGTTTATTTTGCTGAGCATAATATTCTCAAGCTTCATCCATGTTGTAGCATGTGACAAGATTTCCTTCTTTTTTAAGGCTGCATAATATTACATTGCATGTATATACAACGTTTTCTTTATCCATTCATCTGTCAATGGACATTTGGGTTGCTTCATTTCTTAGCTATTGTGAATAATACTGCCATGAACATGGGTGTGCAAATATCTCTTTGAGATCCTGCTTTGAATTCTTTTGAACATATTCCCAGAAGTGGGATTGTTGGATCATATGGTAATTCTATTTTTAATTTTTGAGAACCCTCTAATTTTTTAAGGAACCTCTATATTGTTTTCCATAATGGCTGCATCATTTTACATTCCCACCAACAGTGCACAAGGGTTCCAACTTTTCCACATCCTCGCCAACACTTGTTATTTTCTGGGTTGTTTTTTTTTTTTGCAGTACGTGGGCCTCTCATTGTTGTGGCCTCTCCCGTTACGGAGCACAGGCTCTGGACGCGCAGGCTCAGCGGCCATGGCTCACGGGCCCAGCCGCTCCGTGGCATGTGGGATCCTCCCAGACCGGGGCACGAACCCATGTCCCCTGCATCGGCAGGCGGACTCTCAACCACTGCGCCACCAGGGAAGTCCCTATTTTCTGTTTTTTGATAGTGGCATCCTGGTGTCTATGAGGTGACAACTTGTGGGAAGCAGTCAGCCATGAGAGCAGGCTGCGGACGTGCCAGGCATGCTGCCGCTGCTCGAAGGGACTGTCCCTACTTGTTCCCCTCCTTGTTCCATTCCATGGGAGATAAATTACCAGGGTCCAGAGATCAGAAAGAATGTAAAATGAGACAAGCAAAGCTGTCTCCCCCCTGCACTTGCAGGTTATTTTTGATGATTCTGGGTTTATGGGTTTTCTCCCAGGGAAGTTAACCTTGAGCCGAGACAGTCTTCAGATAATGTAAACCACCGTCTGGCAACCTTCCCTTTTCTAGTCTATATAATCTGCAACTGTAGCACAATAAAATTTGCCTTGCAACCAGCAGTAGTCTTGGTCCTTCTGACCCCATTTGTCGATGCTATTTCAGGTCCTTACCCCTTCCCTTCTGGCTCTGATTGGTTTGGTCTTCTTCGTTCGGCTGGTCTTTGGCAATAACTCATTGCGGTTTTGATTTGCATTTCCCTAACAATTAGTGACGTTGAACTTTTTTCATGTGCTTATTGCCCATTTGTATATCTTCTTTAGAGGAATGTGTATTCGAGTCTGCCCATTTTTTAATCAGGTTATTTGGATTTTGTTGTTGTAGAAGTTCCATATAATATTAACTCCTTATCAGATATATGTTTTGCTCCCATTCCATAGGTTGCTTTTTCACTGTTGATTGTTTTCTTTGATACACAGAAGTTTTAAAGTTTGATGTAGTACCCATTGTCTATTTTCAACTGATCCATTATTCTATCTATTTAAAAAAATAATAATCTGTAGCAGCAATGACATAAAAAACAAAAAGAGCCTACCACAGTAGGAAATTACCTAGTCCCTGAATTAATTAAGATGCCTTTTAATGTATTTTGATTGTTGGGTAAGCAATATAAGAAAAAATAAATGTGGCCATATATTATACATAAAGATATTCTACAAACAGTAAGAAAATTTGAAGAGTGTTTTACTTATCTGGACTTTAATATTTCCCATCTGGAAACCACATCTCCAGCCCTTCTTGTATGATGTTATTATATTCATTATATAACTTATTCTTCATCCAGGTGAGCAGCTGTGAGTGTGCTAAAGGCTGCCAGTGATGATGGTTTCACATCTCTTATGATAAACTACCCATTTATGTGAAATGGAAAGATATAAAGCATGCAGAAATTCCCTTGGATCAGAGAGTAGGGTTTCCCCCAGCACAATTAAGTTTGTGGTCAGTTTAGCTGGATCAGCTAAGACAACCAGCCAATCAGATTTTAGGAGGGAAACGGATTTCCTAAATAAATATGATTTCCAAGAGCATGTTCTCTACAGAATTTCTCAGGCTTAAAATCAAATACAGGAGTGACTCAGTAGAACAAATACAGGAACAACTCCATTCTACCACTATGAAGAAAAGTGGTGTTTCTCTCCTTTTGGGTATCATCTTCCTGACTCGGATTGGAGTTCAAGGTAAGGGATTCTGAGTTATATTGGGTTAGTAAAGTCAGAGATGTGAACTGCTAGAAAAGTCTCTTGATTTGCCAGTAAGGGTAACTGCTTTGTGTGCATCAGAAAGTGAGGTGAGTCAGTTGTTGTCAGTTATCCAAAGTTCATATCTTGGACCTGCCAAGTCAAATACAAGTCTTCTCAGTCCACGTGTGTGAATTCCTGGCACAGAGTAAGTGTTCAATAAATGTTTGTTGAGCTGGGTGATAATGAGATGGAAGACTTTGTCTCCTAAATTATTTTTGTCACCCTGACAGTGTTTCTTGATAACTATGTCTGTGGTTAACAAATTAAGTATCCAATAATCAGAGAGGTTGTCCCTAATCTGTTTACTAACTTCCTTTGTTATTTGGGGCAAATTAATGAACTTTTCTAGACTTCAGTTTCCTCAGCTGTAAAATGGAAATTTTATAGTTATGCTTTTTCTACCTACTATACAATGTATGGCATATAGGAAGTACTGAGTAAATGTATGTTGAATAAATGAAAAAATTAAGGAATGAAGATAGTGTATTTTAAAGAATTTTCAAAAGTTTAAAGTACTACTGAAAACCAAGGCAGTGGGAAAGATCAGGATGGTGGTGGTAATTAGTTATTGTAAGTGGAGCTTTTTGTTGAAACGAGTACCACCTCCATTTCACTAAGGTCAGATAAAAAATGGCTTTGGGAGTTGCTTGAGATACTATGGTCTGCATAGCACACATGAATTAGGTATCTGTGTATCTGACCTGTGATAGACATTTATTGAATATTATAAAAATCCCTTTTCCTAAGGTTGTAAAATATGGTAGTTAAGAGTAATGCCTTTGGACCCAAAGAAACCTGTGCTGAGACCCTGCACTTGTCCCCTAAAAGCTGAAAGGCTTTGTTTTTTACTTAACTTCTCTGAACCTTGGATTCTTTATCTATAAAACGGAGATAACACCTACTCAAAATCTCGTGGTAATGATTAACAGACACTCAGTAAGTGATAGTAATAATCACGACTAAGTCAAATGTATCATTTGGGTGGATCGCCTAAATTGAGACATTGCTCTAAATCGATGTTCTCTACCTCTCTTTTTCCCTTAGGAACTCCAACAATGAGGAATGGACGCTGTTCCTGCATCAACACCAGCCCAGGGACGATCCATTCAAAATCCTTAAAGGACCTTAAACAATTTGCCCCAAGCCCTTCTTGTGAGAAAACTGAAATCATGTAAGTAAAAACTCATCCAACACATATGCTCCAGCAATAAGTTTAGTGTGAGTATTACCCTCAGAATACTTGCCCATTCAGACACTTAAAACGCAGACAGTTGCCCCTCCATAAATCCAGTCTACTTCTTCCTTTTCTTCTAAAAAAACAAGCAATTTCTGGTAGAGGTTAGGAACCAAAGATGACATGTTCATTGTAGAAAATGTTTAATGTAAGTGACCCAAAAGAAGAAATTAAAAATCGTCTATAATCCTACCATTTAGTGATAGGTAGTGTTAATCTCTCTACATATAGTCTTCCAAATCTCCCCCATTGGCTTTGTGTGTACACATATAGACGCTATATATATATATATATTTATACACACAATATATGTGCACAAAAATAAAATCATACACTACATACTGTTTTGTAATCTGCTTTTACATTAACACTATATAATGAACACTTCCTGTCAGTAAATCTTCCGTAATAACATCATTTTTTCCTAATAATGTCAATTTTAATGGCCAAATTTTATTCTATCATGTGGATGTACCATAATCTATATGACCAACACCTAAATGTAGGTTATTTCCAATTTTTTTGCTATTGAAAACAAACTGCTATTGTAGCAATATTGTGTCTTTAATTCTTTCCTATTAGTAATACCTTTCTAGAGATTAGAATTGCTAGATTAAAGGATATGCCTATTGTAAATTTTTTGAAAACTAAATCAAGGATGATGTATAGAATGACTACTCTTATTCTTAGATTAGACAGAAATTAAAGAAAAAAGTCTTTAAATTGTTCCTGGAGAGTCTGATGTAATTTTAAAAATTCAACCAGTCTGTTCATCTTGTCTTAGGAAAACATTTTATTTATGTTTTAAGTTGTTTCACTAGAAAATTTAGCAAAATTCATGCTCATTTTCATTGTTTTGGGGGAAAAGAAAGTAGATATATTGGCAACTTGTCTAATTTATATTTTCACTTAAACATAAATAGCTTTTTCCATCATAACAGAACTAATATTATCTTTAGATTTAACTTTCTCCTATTGCATATACCTGTTGGATTTTTTAAACTTAGAGTTATGTGCTATCCTAGAAATGTATCTAAGTCCCCTCAGTCACTTAAAAAATGAAAAGGCAGGAAAAAGACTGGAAGTCTCAGATGTTTATAGTGATGACACAAATACATTTTTAATTGGGGAACTGAATTCTGTGGATAAGATGAAGCATTTAAATTATTAAAAGTAAAAAAAAAATCTTGTCGCTATTTCTTTGGTAGTGCTACAATGAAGAATGGGGATCAAACCTGTCTAAACCCAGATTCAACAGATGTGAAAGAATTGGTTAAAAAGTGGGAGAAACAGGTTGGTGAAAAAAAGGAACAAAATTTTCTTTCTTTTAGAAATTAACTTTGAAAGACAAAGAATCATGTAGTTCCTTTAAGGATACGTTCTTCATTCATGTTATTGTGCTCCTATTTTTTTCATAGAATGATGTCATCACCTTGAGGTGTAATGGTAGTCCTGCTTACAGTATCACTTGTCTATCTCTCCCACTAGAATGTGTGTTCCATGAGGGTAGGCAGCTTGTCTTTCTTATCCAATACAATAAATGTGTATTGAATGGTAGACAGTGAGGATAGAAAGGATATAAGGTAGGGAATTCCATGGTGGTCCAGTGGTTAGGACTTGGCACTTGCACTGCCAGGGCCCGGGTTTAATCCCTGGTTGGAGAACTACCACATGGCACAACCAAAAAAAATAAATAAATAAAGGTAATAAAGTCCCTTCCTGCTGTAGCAAATTTGCTAACAATTAATTATAGTACAATGTGAAAAATATAAAATAAATATATGCACAAGAATCTTGAAGATAATAGAAGAAGGAGTAATTAACTTTGCCAGAGGTGAGGGGACAGGAAGAAAGGGTTAAGGAAGACTTTTTATATCAGGTGACATTTGATTTGGGTCTTGAAGGATAAGTAGTTCACCAGGAGGGTAAGGGCAGCATGAAAAAAACGACTAGAATCATGAGAGAGCTCACTGTGCTCCAGGAACCTCGGGTAATGTGGCTGGAGTTTGTGCAGAGGGAGTGAAGGGATTGAGACAGAAAAGTAGACCAGGAAACGGGGAAGAATCCTGCATGATGTGCTAAAGGGTTAAGTTTGAAGAGGGCCACAGAATATGTAGTGGGCACTTGGTTCTGGACTCTGACAGACTAGCAGTTCTGCCACATACTAGCTGTGCAACTTTGGGCAAGTCACCCGCTCCGAGCCTCAGTCTCCTCATCTGTAAACATTGGATGATAATAGTACCAACCTCAGAAAACTATAGTTGGGACAGGTGGGTCATAAGCAAGATTGCAGTGGGGGTAGTAATGAGCCCAGAAAACGGACAGAAGAGAACCAGTCAGAAGGCTACTGCCTCCTCATCAAAGTGAGTGAAATAGAATCAAAAAGAGCCCCTCTGAGACTGAAGCAACTTTAAACTGGTTCTGAGGATAAAGAAAGACCACAGTCTGGAGAGTCCAAATATAATATAAGGAAGGAAAAATGGTAAGATAGAGAAACATTACCCTTTTTTTTCTGTCTCCTCACAGGTCAACCAAAAAAAAAAGCAAAAAAAAGGGAGAAAATATAAAAAAACCAAGAAAGTTCCAAAAGTTAAAAAATCTCTACATCCTCCTCAAAAGAAGACTACATGAGATACCATTTTACCAGCAAGTATTTTGTGTTAAAAAGTTTCTTTCTAACTATACTGAAATAATTCCAAAAAGGGATGGCATCTTAATACATAAGCTTGTTGATTTGAACTAGAACATTTAAAGCATTATTTTGAAATTGTAATTAAAGGTAGAAAGTTGCTTTTAAAATCCAGATGTGAAGAATTGTTAGAGGCTAGAGCTTGTCTTTGTTCTTCCACCTCTGACCAGCTGAATTTCATCATGCTTAAGCCCACAATCTCAGTAACGCCCACATCTGGACAAATGTCCTCACAACCGCATCCCACACACAACAGCTGCCTGCAAGAACAACTGTAGGCTTCCCAGGACTCCAGAGAATATTCTGAGGCACACGTCAGCAGGCCCCAGCCTGGGAACATGCTGGTAAGCGGAGCAGTTTGGAATCGAGCTGGACCTCACCAAGCTGCCATAGCCATCAGCATCTGTATTTGAATCTGCCTGTGGGCCTCTCATACAATGCATCTGAGATATTCGTGCTGTGTATAACTGTACCATTTATATATACATGTACACTCTCTAAGCAAATAATTAAGTGCAAAGCAGTATTGACATATATACCCTGTAGTCTGAAATATTTTCTTTGTTAAAAGACAATGCTATCAATAAATGCACCACTGATCAGAAAACAAGTCTTGATTTTTTAATGTCTCAGACATGTACCTCAACTATTGCACGTGTAACAATAATTCTCATGCGTCCTTATTCATTTGGTTTCATCTCAAATAAAGTGTAATAGAGATAAAGACATGGAAGCTCTTTAAAGTGCTCTTTGGAGACATAAAAAAACTTCAGCGTAAAATTTGACAATACCTTATAACAACATTGACTTACAAGAGTTTATGCGGTATGCAATTTATTTCCTAATCCTCAAGGGCGATGCTATTCCAATAAGAATATACCCAGGAGACCAAAAATGTCCTGACTCTTTTCCATAACCTAAAAATATATATGTTTAAATATTATAAAGCCTCAAGTAGTTATGGAGACCCAAACATAGGATAAGTTATTCCAGAGTCCAGAAAACTTGGGCTGGAGGTATTATGCAGTATGGAGTCTCTAAGAAGGTTGGGAGTGGACAGAGAATACCAGCCTTGTACGTTTGAGATACACTTGAGAGGCCAGATATGTGTGATATTTGAGCAGGTAGCAGCTCCTGATGGTGAACATGACAAAGCCCACGAGGACCTTAACCCGAGACACAGCAGTATGCTGTGGAGAGAGCTAAGATTCTGGCTTCTGAGATATCTGAGTTAAGATCAATCCCACCACTTATTAGCTGTGTGACCTTGGCTCAAGCACACTTTTTAACCTCCCTGTACACAAAGTTCCTCCTCCAGGATTGTTGTGAGGAACAGGCCCAGCATAGATCTTGGTGCATAGCAAGTCCTCAGGGTCAGTCCCAACCTCCCCCGACCATTTACCTCTGCTGCACTTTCTTCGCAACAGAGGGTGTTTCACATCTCATACACACAGAGAAATGTTTCCAGGACTGAAAAAATAGGTTGGAGAAATGAGATCAAAAGCCTGCCTGACCAGTTCTCTGTATCTATATTTTTATACCCATAGTCCAGACCATCATTGTCTTTTTTTTTTTTTTTGGCGGTACGCGGGCCTCTCACTGTTGTGGCTTCTCCCGTTGCGGAGCACAGGCTCCGGACGCGCAGGCTCAGCGGCCATGGCTCACGGGCCCAGATCTCACGTGGGATCTTCCCGGACCGGGGCACGAGCCCGTGTCCCCTGCATCGGCAGGCGGACTCTCAACCACTGCACCACCAGGAAAGCCCGGCCATTACTCTTGATTAGATCTAGTGACAGACACGGTGGATCCTGTGGATCCCAGCTTGCACTTGCTCTCCTCTGAGTTCACTTTGTCTTCATGACTGGTGGCCTTGTGACCAACAATGGTCCCAGGTCCTCCACCAGATGCTTGGAAGTGGACCTAGAGAGGCAGTAGTTACATAGAAGCAATAGCTTCCCATAGGTCCCTAGCAGTCCCAGTTTGGCAGCCGGACAGTCTTAGCTTCTCGGATTTTTCTCACAAACTCTTATGTGTATAACTGTACCAGTGCTTCCGAAGGTTTGGTCAGTGAATCTTTCTCCAGTCCCTTGACTTATCCTCCCAGACTTTCATTTCCCAAGATCCTCCCTCATCTGTGTAACATCTGATTCCTATAGTAAATCCTCTAATCCCTTAATATTCAGAGCGACTCTGCTTCCCTAACTGATACACCTGTGCCTGAAGCACTCTTCTTTGCACAGCTGTTCTTGCCTCTTCATTTGAATTTCAGCTTCAATGTCACTTCACAGTCTCCTTCCCTTATCACCCTTAGTGAAATAACCATCCTCTCCCCAGACCCTGTCTGTTGTAGTGCTTTCCAAAGTGGGATGTGTACACCCTATGGGGTAGATAAAATTAGAGTATTTGTAACATATTTTGTCTGAAAAATAAGAAAGAAGTGAAGATTTACTATAAATCTGAAGTCAGCAATTGATACTGGCAGCTTCACTCAATGCATTTGTCAGGTGAGCCTGTGTCACATACAGATTTCCTGTGGAAAAAGTGAGACTTCCTTACCTGGGAGGGATTGACATGCACCCTCATTCAGTCACTTCCTTCACTTTGCAACAATGGGTTGCCACTTATGTGGGCAAAGTCCTCTATGGCTAACTCTAAACTAGAACCAGGATCATGGGGATAATAAGACAGACTGCTAACTAAGCCAATCTTGACAAAATGGGCAAGTGGCTTTAAAAGATTCCTAAGGGGACTTCCCTGGTGGTCCAATGGTTAAGACTCCATGCTCCCAATGCTGCGGGCCCGGGGTCAATCCCTGGTCAGGGAACTAGATCCCACATGCATGCCGCAACTAAGACCTGACGCAGCCAAATAAATAAATAAATATTTTTAAAAAAGAAAAAGATTCCTACTAAGGAATTCATGTGGAAGATAATAATAATGCAAACAAACTAACAAAAGAATAAAACATCCATACAGGGGATGCCTGTTCCAATTTTACCTAGAAGGCACACGTTTTTTGTTTTTTTTTTTGGCAGTACGCGGGCCCCTCACTGTTGTGGCCTCTCCCGTTGCGGAGCACAGGCTCAGCGGCCATGGCTCATGGGCCCAGCCGCTCCGCGGCATGTGGGATCTTCCCGGACCGGGGCACGAACCCGCGTCCCCTACATCGGCAGGCGGACTCTCAACCACTGCGCCACCAGGGAAGCCCAGGCACACGATTTTTAAAAATCTGGTAGCTGTGGTCTGTTTCATTCTCCCTTATCAGATAAATCAATCTAACTTCATCACAATCTGAAATTATCTTTTAAAAATATTTATATAGCTATTTCCTGTCCCCCACCCCACCACAAACAATAATTTTCTTGACTACAGAAAAGTTTATTCTCTTCACCACTGCATCTATAGTGTCTAGAGCAGTGCCTGGTACTTAGGAAGCACTTAATAGGTATTTTTTCAGTTGATTGACATATGCTTTACCCTAAATTTTCTTTCATGTCTTTTCCAAATCAATCTGAACTACTCTTGTCATGACATCTAAACTTACCATGCTCACTTCCGCCTTCAGCTTTGCTCATGCTCTTTTATTTACCTGCTCCACTCACCTCCCACCCCCATCTAACTGATTCCCACCTATATATGATTCAAGTCTTGCTTTTCCATCCCAGAATGCTCCCAGTCACACTGAATTCCTCTCCCTGTGACTGCCCTGTTGTAAAGTGACCTTAACTCTTAGGAATTGTTCTCTGATTTAAAATTTAAATTATTTTGCTATACCAGAAAGCAGTTTGTATTGGAACAAATTTTATATATTAGAGCAATGGGTAATCAGTGAAAATATTAAATCTGTAAGCTATACGTTTAAATTGAAATGCCAGTGATCTCTTGGTCAGTTAATTAGGAGAAAGCTATTTGAGGTTTCTTTATCCCTCCTAGGAAGATGTAAAGTTGCTTTCTTATTAGAAAGGAAGATAAGGAGAGAAACTGCAATCATAGGTGCTTTAGAATACGGTCACTGTTTTTTGGCTGGTATAGAGAGGATGAAATTAGGTGAGAAGGGAGAACAAGCAACCTTTCTTACATATAATGAGTTAATTAGGCAGTCACCTGAGGCATTTTGAGGCAAGTTAATTTAAAGTTCCCAGGAGAGTTTTTGATCCTACTTTTTTTGTGTGTGTGCGGTACGCGGGCCTTTCACTGTTGCGGCCTCTCCCGTTGTGGAGCACAGGCTCCAGACGCGCAGGCTCAGCGGCCATGGCTCACGGGCCCAGCCACTCCGCGGCATGTGGGATCTTCCCAGACCGGGGCACGAACCCGTGTCCCCTGCACCGGCAGGCGGACTCTCAACCACTGTGCCACCAGGGAAGCCCGATCCTACATTTTAAGGAAGTAAGTAAATCACAAATGAGTAATCAAACCTAAGTGTGTGAATGAGAGTGTGGACTGGGGCAAATTGGTAAAAGATTACAGGGAAACGTGTCAAGTTCTATAATACATAACTATTTGCTTTCTTTAAAAGTTTGCTATATAATGGACTTCCCTGGTGGCACAGTGCTTTACAATCCACCTGCCAATGCAGGGGACACGGGTTCGAGCCCTGGTCTGGGAAGATCCCACATGCCACAGAGCAACTAAGCCCGTGCGCCACCACTACTGAACCTTCGCTCTAGAGCCCGCGAGCCACAACTACTGAGCCCACGTGCCACAACTACTGCGGCCTGCACACCTAGAGCCCACGCTCTGCAACAAGAGAAGCCACCGCAATGAGAAGCCCGCGCACCGCAATGAACAGTAGCCCCCGCTCGCTGCAACTAGAGAAAGCCCGTGCGCAGCAATGAAGACCTGACACAGCCATAAATAAATAAATAAATTTATTTATTTAAAAAAGACAAGTTTGGTATACAAATTTTAAAATCTCATCCTTTAAATATACTATTTCACTTTACTCTTTCAAGTTGACTATTTTCATAAGGAATTTTTTTGCTTAAAAAAAAGAAAAAAGTTGCTGGGACCTCTATCTTCAGGGAATGAGGCCATGGCCTCTGTCTTCTGTGTAGAGTGTAGGACCAAGTGGGCCCAGTCACCTACCATCAGCTTTCCTTAACCATCTGAGTAGACAACCTGAACTTCCAATAGAAGGAGGAACTAACATCAAAACTATAAGTGTGAGAGGAGAAATGACAAAGTAAATTATTAACAGAGAGGGAAAAAGTGTTGTTACTTAGAAAGAGTAATGCCAGCAATCACTTCTACAGTATTAAAAGCAGCAGAACATAGCTCAAGGCAGATGTCTCTTGTTTGGAGACTTTGATTAGGGCCAGACTGGCTGGGAGTTTTTATGGAATAGAAGTCAAAGCAAATGCAAGCTAAATTTCCCTGAATAGTAAGGGAATAGAAATGACCTCTGGCAGCTAGGGAGGGTGTTGGGAATTCTGAAACAGCAAAAAGAGAGGCAGAAGAAGGAGATGGGAGTAAAATGCCACTGTAAAAATGACAGCAGGCTGGAGTAAAGGTAGAGAAGACCAATGAGAAATTTCCTGTGGTGGGATGACCAGCTTGCTTGCTTGCTTGCTTTTCTTTTTTTTATATATAATTTTTATTGGAGTA